TTTGCATTTATAAATGAGGGCACAGTTGTTCAGGGATGCAGTGATGCTGTGACGCAGCTTTGCTTTGGCCAGCCGACGAAGGAGTGGCTTGTTTTCCACGCTGCACACTTTGCTTTTCACTGACGTAAATATCACTCAGACGTCCTTACAATGGAAACACGTCTGAATATAAAGCTTCGGTAATACGACCTCTATACTTCTCATGGCTGTTTTAAGGTAAAGCTTTAGAAAATCCATCATAAATAAGTGGTAAAAAAAGAGTCTGTTACACCATGTTGTTGCTTTCACTCATTTTGTCCGCATACTGGAGAAACAAAAAGAGGTATGGAAGGATTAGGACACTTTAAAAAAAATCATTTATAGATATAACAATACAATAATATATATTCCTATTCATGTCATGTTTATCACTTAAAATACTGGACACAGGACAGCATGATTCATGCTCGCATGCAAGACAGAATTAGCAGTGACTGACCAAGATGACTGACTGTCCGCTCAGCCTTAGGAAGGCATTAAAAGAACAACAAACAGACGTTGAAAGACACTCGCTTGCATGAGGTGAAAACAGGTGCCCAAAAAAGCCGAATGTGTGTTAGCCACTATTTGAGTGGTATCATCAGTTCAGGTTATGTAGTTGATACCATACAAAAAGTTTGGGTTCGGTAAGGTTTTTTTAATGTTTTTGAAAGTAGTCTCTTATGCTCACCAAGGCAGCATTTATTTGACCAAAAATACAGTAAAACAGTAATACCGTGAAAGGTTATTACAATTTAAAATAGTCATTTTCTTTTTTAAATGCATTATAAAATAGAAGTTATTTCTGTGTTGGCGAAGCTGAATTTTCAGCATCATTACTCCAGTCTTCAGTGTCACATGATCCTTCAGAAATCATTCGAATATGCTGATTTGCTGCTCAAGAAACTTTACTACTTCTTATTGTTGCCAATGCTTAAAACAGTGCTGCTAAATATTTTTATTAAAATATTTTTCACAAAAATATTACATTTGACATGATTTCAGGATATTGTAATATTATAAATGTCTTTACTGTCACTTTTGATTAACGCATCCTTACTGAAAAAAAAACAATATTTCTTTTTCAAACAGTAATACGTGTAATTTCAGATATTCAGTTCTATTCTACTAAGAATAGAATTATCTTGTACTAAGATGGTATTTTTAAAAACTAAGGAAAAATATTACTTCATCACAAAGCTATTGGAATATTTGAATATATGTGAACAAAAATGTAACTTGTTTTAAAAAATGTCCCTTTTGATTTGTATTACATTTTGTGCAAAAGCATGTTAGTCTCATAGCTGCTAAAGCAAGCAAAAGCTTTTGAAGTGAATTTACAATAGGACTGTGTCCTAACCAGACATGACGTAATACGTTTATATTGATAAGCGGTTTATCTGTTCACACTGATAGTGTAAATGTTAACACAATCACATTCAATTAGACCATGCTTGTTTAATGGTTTGGTAGCTCATTTACACTTTTCATGTTTGTTATTAGTCATTTATTGCATAATGCCTGGTTAGGACGTGTTAAAGTAACACTCCACTATTTTTGAAAATAGGCTCATTTTCCAACTTCCCTAGAGTTAATCAGTTGAGGTTTACCGTTTTCGAATCCATTCAGCCGATCTCCGGGTCTGGTGGTAGCACTTTTAGCTGTAGCTTAGCATAGATAATTGAATCTGATTAGACCGTTAGCATCTCGCTCAAAAATGACCAAAGAGTATATATATATACTCTCATTCCGGCGTAATAAGTTGAAATTTCTTCTTCTGCATTCAATTGTGCGGACGTAAATGTACTTTCCCTTCAGCCTGAGGATTATTCATTTCATTTTGGTGTGAAAAGGCTTTTATATTTGCCAAAAATATAACTTTTTTATTTTAAAAACAAAGCAAGTCCTGTCCAGATTTAAAAAGTAACGCAAAAGTAACGTAACACATTACTTTCCATAAAAAGTAACTAAGTAACGTAATTAGTTACTTTTTTATGGAGTAACGCAATATTGTAATGCATTACTTTTAAAAGTAACTTTCCCCAACACTGATACAGAAGAGTCAAGTTTTAAATAGGAAAAATATAGAAACTCTTTGGTCATTTTTGAGCGAGATGCTAACGGTCTAATCGGATTCAATGATCTATGCTAAGCTGCAGCTAAAAGTGCTACCGCCAGACCCGGAGATCGGCTGAATGGATTCAAAAACGGTAAAACTCAACTGTTTAACTCTAGGGGAGTTGGAAAATGAGCCTATTTTCAAAAATAGTGGAGTGTTCCTTTAAATTCACTGCAATCTGAGAGGATCCTTATATGGAAACAAAACCAAGAGAGGGAGAAAAAGATCACCTCACACTCTCCTCTTCATCACCCTGCTGGGTAAAACTTACCCCACTAATAAAGGGAAGATTCAGCAAGTATCCCAGCACAGGAATTCTCCTGATGAAGCCTACGACCACTGGAAAGAATCCCCTACACGTGAAGAGAAGGCATTAGAGTGTAGATATAGACTGTTATTAGGAATTACCGGGATCATTTTGAGATTATTGATCCGAAATGTTAGTCTTTTTTTTTTTCAGTTCCAAAATCTACCAACAGACTTCAAGAATAATGTACATTTTATTTTTTAAATAATATAATCATTTTACTTACTATAGTGTAAAATAAGTGCTCATTTAATTTTCACTTTTTTCTTATTTACTTGTAAAATGTGTAGTTTATCTGTATCAGTGTAGATAATATCTATATCCACCTTCAGCTAATCTGTATCAGCATCATCTAGAGCTACTAGTTATGTAGCTGCATAATTTGCCTGGTTAAGAGCTTCCCATTTCTTAAAAAAAAATACCTGAATAATAGAAAGAAGCCATAAAACTCTAGAATCACTCCAATGATGGGCCATCCGATCAGCACTACAAAGATGCCTCCTAGGAAGAAGCTGGTGGCTTTCATTTTGTGCTTCTGAAAGAAGAACCTGAACGTCCTCTCCAGCCCGATTACAAACGCCAGGCCCACAACAAAAAAGATCTGAGACAAATGAAGACCAAGAGAGAGGTAAGAGATAGAAACTGCCTTTGGGTCGAGGGATCTGTGCTTATGTGTGTCTATGTGCACTCATAATATAAGTTTATAACAAATGATGGTATAAAAATGTTGTATTTTAGCTATTATGAGAGAACACTTAATACCAGGAAAATCTAGAGGAGCATAATGAAGAATATGATGGGAAAAGTAAAAATGTAGCAAAACAATACTATTCACAACAAAGTTATACGAAAGAAATTGCTCAGAAACTAGCACAAACATGCATGAAATTTTGTTTTTTTAAACCAGTGAGAATATTACATATATATATATATATATATATATAAAACATGTAATACACTGTGTGTGTGTGTGTGTGTGTATTCACACACACAGAGACATTTCTCTGATAAGAAACAAATAATATATACACTGTTTATATTCGTTACTGATTAGTATAATTAAAATGATCATATCGTTATAAATATGTAAGGCATAACCAAATATATCAATGACAAGATGGGAACACTCACATTTCCTATGGCAAGGAGAGCTTTATCGAAAAACAGGATCATCCCAAAAAACAGAAAAAATACACCAAATCCTGTTAGCCCCATTCCAATTTCTGTTGAGAGAAGGAAAGCCATAAAATTGAAGCAATATTAAATTAAACCAATATATATAATTAGCATTTAATACCACATAAAGGTTAGATATTATTTGCTAATATGATCATTTCTTATTGATTGTTATGATTATCATATGCATTAAACTATGTTTATAGGACTGTTCTGTCTTCATGCAATCAGTCTGGTGCAGTTCACCATCCACATTAAAGCGGTTTTTAAGCCAGAACATTTATTTTGTCCGTTTCCTGTCATGTAATTCACCTCCAACGACTTTTACACTAGACTTATTACTGGTGGAGTGACATCTGTACGCAGCTGCATGAATCCACACACACATAAATACTCAAGACAGGCGAAATAATAAAGACAACAGGCTTTGCAGATGAAAGCACTAACGCTAGACATTGTCTGAGGAAGAGCTGTCAGTGAGACAGGTTATGTTAATCTTACTCTGGGAGTCGGTGAGGGAAATCATCTTGGCTCGTCTCGCTCAGCAGCTGTCATAGAAGCGGCCACGCGTACCGGAAACACTCACTTCGACTTCCGGAAAAACTTTACAAACCTAATGCGTCTCGTATTAATGTATTTTTAAAAGAATTGCTATTTTGAATAAGTAGTTCGCGCAAAAAAAAAAAAAAAAAATCTAACGCATGTTTAAGACATTTAATGTGTTTTTGCGTGCCTAGTGATGACATGGTAAAAGTCACTGTAGTAAATATTAGACTATATTTAAAAAACATATTTACTGTAATATGTCGTAGTTTACATATATAATTTTAACCATAATAACCTTGATAAATGTACACAGAAGCGCAACCGTTGTATTTGGAATAATGAGAACGTTGTTTACGTCCGTGTCCACCGCGCCATCTTCCGGTCAATATTTACAACTGCACACTTTTAACATCGTACACGCTGGTATAACGCTGGTTTACCTAACATTTTAACGGGTCTGTATGTAATTCGTGACATTTGTACCGTTCTTTAATCTTTTTTTCTGATGTATACTTTCATATAAGAATGATAAGTTGATGTTTTTGGCATTTTTCCATGAATAATGTATCAGTTGGTGTCACATTATTTTATTAAACAGCATGCTAACCCCTTGAATCTCTGGTATATTTTAGACAAATTATTATCCAGCAAAGTATTTTTATAGCATGAAAAGAGTAAAGTTTTAATTTGAATGTTGCACTTCTTAAGTTCTATGTAAATTTAATTAACAAAAATGTAATGTGTAGAATTTTATCATTTGATACTTTTAAGTGTGACATTTATTTAATAAGTATTACTAGAAAATAACATAGAATAACAATATTGGCAACCAACAACTTAATATAAGCATTTTATTAGTATAATCTCATAACTTTATTACATAATATTTAGAAGCCTTTATAAAACATTGCAGTAATTTGTTTCGAATCTCTGATTATTCTGTGCAGTTTCTATTTGCCCTGCAAATATGTTTCTCCATAAATACAGCAAACCCAAGAACTGCATCACACTGCAAGCTGTTTCTGACAAAAAAATATCCCATTGAGTTTTTAAAATATATTAATGAATAATTATCCAAAATGTAACAGCAAAAAAATCAGGTGTAAACAAATGTACCCTGATTTAGAAAAAGAGAGAGAGAGAGAGAGAATACAATGCAAAATGCATAACACGTCAACTTTCAAAAACAATTTTGATTTTGAGGCACTATTTGACACTAGGAATATACTGTGCATCTTGAGGGCTCTTTTGTTTATACTTTAACACATACTAGATTATGTTCTTGTTCTTAAATATCCCTCTACAGTTAATTACAATTTGCCATATTTCCACACGTGACTTGTGTCCATCACTCTGGGGGTTTCTTCTTGGCCTCCACGTCCTTCTTAAAGGCCTCGATTTTCTTTGAAATATTGGGTACCTTGAAAAAGTTATAAACAAATAAATGATATCAGCCAATGATCACTAAACAATGGAGCTGTTCTCTATTTCAAGACTAATGCCATTTAGTCCAGTCTTATTAGAATTCGTTTATAAGATTTTAGACAGACACAGAGTTAATATGTGAATAAATAGTTTTTATAACCTCGTAATTCTGTGCCAGATACATGCCAACCACGTTCCCCAGAGTGAAGCCAAGCTGGAAAGACAAAAGATGCTCAAAGATCAGCAAAATCATATCACAGATAGAAACATTCTCCTATATTATAAATGATCCGGCTGTAAATGTTTATATTTAGCTCAAATTAAACACTTTGATAAGCTAGTTACTTAGAGATATTAGCTACTACAATGTGAATTAGCAAGCGAATAAACACACGTTTACAATCTCACGAATAGATGTAAGTACTTACTATGAATTGCATCATGATTAAAGCTTTGAAATGGTGAAAAGAAACTAAATAACAGTGACACTGGTCCCGAAATCTAGTATGGCTCTGCGTTAGCCTTCAACTAGCTTCATATGTCATCAGCATGACATCAACACACCGGAAGTAGTATTCTTGCAAAATAAGAGTCTTAATTATGAAGTAAAGAGCACATAAAATGTTTAATTGAGCTATAACAAATTATATACCAGATTGTGATTTAACTATAATATAATTTTCCCCACTTCCAGTAAAATGTTAACTGATTTTAAATTAAAAAAAAAAATGTTTTTAATAAAATTATTTTTAAAAATGTAACAAAATAATATTTAAATGCTGTCAGATTAATTCAGAAACAGGTTTAAAAGAAATATTAACTAGTTTCCACACTTAAAAAAAAAATGTTTTTAATAAAATTATTTTTAAAAATGTAACAAAATAATATTTAAATGCTGTCAGATGAATTCAGAAACAGGTTTAAAAGAAATATTAACTAGTTTCCACACTTTCTTTTATTTTTTTTTATTTTTTTGTGCTTGTCACACTACATATATTTTGTTGTTCTTACAAGGGTTCTTCTTACATCTTGAAAACAAACAATACATATATTGCAAAATTGTTGAAAGTCTGTCATGTTAAAACAATGGCTTTCCACACAAAGATGTCATTCATTCGCTTGTCACAACGGCAAAAATCATGTGTGTTTATGCGTGTGTCACCAGCCAAACAAGGGTCTTGATCTATGTGGTTAGGTTATAGTTAAAACAATTAACATAACTGAATAAGAGCACAAATATTATATAAGAGAATCGCCTTAAATTTCAAATACAACAGTAATAAAACAACATGCCTGTAACCAAAGCACAATGATACAAACAGCATACAAAACTAACCCAGATGTTGATGTCTAAAGGATAAAAAAGGACAACAAATGATCATGCAGTCGTAACTGTATAAAAGAACACTACCAGGACCAAAAAAATTCAAATTAATTTAACAATATTGTTCAATTTGATCTTCTCAGAGTTCTTGATTCTTTATATATCTCTGTATATCTCTGACTCTTTATATAATTTCAAGTTTCTTCCATTTCAAATTATGCAGAATAAGAAATTCAGACCTTTTTTCAAGTATAAACACAGTTAATATTTGTAATACAATACTTTCAAAATAATGTGTATAGTATAATTTAACTTTGTCGATGATGGATTTCAATATGCTCCAATAAACTTGTTTTATGATCTAGAAAATGGGCATGGGAAACAACATGGGTATCTCTAAATGGATATAACATATTCTCAGTAGTCTGTAAATGATCTGTGTAAATATATTAGCCTATTTTGGCTACGTCTTTAACAACTGTAAATATAGAAAAGTTTCTGCCTTGCACCTAAACATGGTCATGGTATACTGTCCGTAATGACTGCTTTTCTATTGCAGTAACACTGTCAAGTGAAAACCACAGTTAGAGAGATGCTAAAAATATAACTTGGCAAGGATTGTCTCTTTGTAACTTAATAAACAGCACAACCCCCCCCCAATCCATAATTTCCCATTTTAAGCACCATAGCACATTGTTGTTCTTCAGTCTTCTTCGTACTGCAGTGATTCCCTTAAATCAAGCATCGAATAATTCACTTGGAAACAATTGAGTGAAATGTCTGGTGATGATAACGAATCAAGTGAACGATGCATCCTGATTTATTTGGACTCCAGTGGGCTGCTGGGTGGCCCCTGTATGATCCCATTCTGCGGAGTTGGTGCTTGCATGTCGATGAAAAGTAGATTCTTCAGGATGCTCACGTAGAAAGGACCGTAAACCTTTTTGTTGAAGTTGACGAGGTTGACAAAACTGACCCCGAGCCCCATGAGCTCCGGCTGAATCAGACCCAAGCCTGGCGGTACAGGAGGGGGCGTCCTGTGAGAGTTGGTAGAGGCAAGGACCACCCTAAAGTACTGCTGTACCCTTCCCTCTGTGGGACAGAAAAGGCACATTAAAACCATAGACTGTATAAAAACATGGACGTAGTGTCCGTGACGTCACCCGTAGGTTTCTGAAGAGCGTTTTTGAAGCTCAAAGTTGGCGGAACCAGCCGTCGCCATCTTGGCAGCGTGTCACCCCGCGTTACTCCCGGATAATTGAAAATGGGCAAAGAGGCGGGAGCTGGTTGCTGAAAAAAAATTCAACCCCCTCACAGTTGTCATGTAGGGCAAAATTAGCTATATAGACCAAAACCACTTTTTGTACCAGGCTGTAAACATGTTTTTTTCTGCTGTAAAGTTGGGCATTTTAACATGGGGAGTCTATGGAACTGACTCCCTTTTAGAGCCAGCCTCTAGCGGCCAGTCGATGAATTGCAGTTTTAGTCACTTCCGTGTTGGTTTCACAAGAGAGACCGGAAGGATGCCGCTTGATTAAAACGCGATACAGGGTTTAAGGTAATATTACAAGTTCAGCTCTGACGGCATTTGTTGCCATAATGTTGGTTATCACAAAAATTAATTTCCACTTTCATTTAAAAAAATAATAATTAAATCAAATAAAAAAAATATCACTGTTTTAATAGTATAGCCACAAAATGTGAACAATATGCTTGTTAATATATCAAAAAAAGCTTGATTAACCGTTATATGCAAATTTACAACTTAGTTGCCATGAATACAACATAAAACGTACATTTTTTTAAATTAAAACAGCTTTATAGCTTAAATAATACACTGGTTTTAACAGAAGAATTAAGGTAATTGCTTTTATAAAATTATAAGCTTCACATTTCTGCTTTTAAATCCTCCAAAATTTGGCTCCATTTATTTCCATTTTAAGATTGAAATAATTTTTTAGGTAATATTACGTTGCAAAAAGGGGAGATTTTCTTAATTAGTATTTTGTCTTCTTTTCTTGTACAAATTACATTTCTAAACATTCTTAAATTAAGTTACTTAAAAATGTAGCGACTCGAGTTGCATAAAACAAGAAAAAAAAATCAATGGGCTAAGGAAAATAAACTTACTCAAAGGAAAAATTAGTTTATTGTTCTTACTACATTGGCAGATATTTTTATGTTTTATGCATTAAAAAAAAACATTTAATTCTGATGCAAGTTTATTTTTCTTACTCCACTGGCAGATTTTCTTGTTTTAAGCAAAAAGATGATTATAATATATAATTTTCTATATTATAAACTATTATCTACTTTGCTTCTCACATAAATGTTTCTTGATATTAATTATGTTTGTTTAGATATTTTGACTGGTAAACAGAGCAAAAAATTATAAGAAAATCATTTTTTGCAATGTCACAAGTGCTGTTGATTGGAACTCGAATATTCCTTTACATTTTTCCTTACCAACAAGAGTGCGTATTGGGTTGTTTTCCTGGGTGATGTCACAAATCTGGCCCTTTAAAGTTTCCTGCAGTTCAGCCGGCAGAGCTGGGAAGTTTCTTTCAGCCAGAGACTTGTTGACTTCACAGCAGATCTGAGCACTGACGTTTCCAAGAGCTTCAGTGAGATTAAAGTCTCTGTAAGCCAAACGGGGGAGGAAAAAAAGCCAACAGGCAAGATCTTTTAGATTGAGACATTCATTATTGCGTTTATGTAGAAGTATGTGTGTGACGTGTGCATGTGTAAGCCTGAGCAGAGTTTAGGGGAAGGAAAGGGACGGGACATACGCGCTATGCATGCCCTCCAGCAGCACTGCTGTCATCTTCTTAAGTCTCTCGACAAGAGCGGGCAGGCCTGACACGGCCCCTCCTATTGAGCTGTAGACTATCAGCAGAACAGACGCGACTGCTTGATAGAGCTGAAGAGACCGCTGCATCTCCTGCAACCTCACTTCATCCGTCATCACGGTCTGCAAGTGTTAGATCATAAAGCACTCTTAAAGAGGCATTTTGAATTTGATATCAATGCTCAGTATGACTGATAATAACTGTGTTTGTTCTCCAACCTCAGGTAATGGGCCCTTGCTCTCGTCCCAGGTGAGCAGTCTGATGTAGGCTGTATTTAGCACCAGCGTGGGGCCTGGTAAGGGTTTGCCGCTCTGCCCAGAATCGCTGCTCTTGTCTCGCATGACTCGAGTGGCCTCCTCTATTGAAGATTGGATCCACTCAGTTGTGTGGTCCAAAGCACCTGGGTGAATTAAAATGATGTTAAAGGTTGCCCAGGTGTGCAAAGCAGTCCAGATACTTTTGGGTGAACTATCCCTTTAAATGGGACAGTTTAAATAGTTAATTTAAATAGTTTTAAATAATTTAATTTAGTTTTAATTTAATAATATATATATATATATATATATATATATATATATAAAATAGTAGTATATAATAG